AATTGAAAACACTGTGGTTTTGTCATGTGGATGAACAAAATAAGTGACTTAGAAGTATAAAAAATATGTTGAACATGTTTTCATGTTTTGCACATCTGTTTTTTCCCTTCCCTTAGTAGATGTCTTCTGCAAAGTTTTTCTATTTCTAGTTCATATCAGTCAGGTTTTCTTGAACTTATCTTGCTTCATTAAGCCCAGCAGTGTAATTCTGAAGCTGTTTAATAGCTATGTATGCTAATCACTTTCAGCAACTCAGGATGGAATGAAATAAGAGAAACTATTAATCTTCTTGAGAAAATGATGTTCCCGCAGACAAAGAACTGAGATGCTAAACTTGGGTTTATAGATGAAAACATTGTCGTACAGTATTCAAACTGCAAAGTTGCTGCAGAAGCAAATAATAAAAGTCTGTAAATAAAAAGGCTTGAAATCATAGCGTTCTTTGCCATGACTTGTATTACATTTAGATATTTCTGTGCAAATAGAGGATAACTTCCACTAATCTGACACAAGCATTTAAGACCGCTGCAGTGATTAAAACGGTCTTTAAAATATATAACAAAAGAACTAGGTCAGTGTAGGAAAACTTGTTGAGTATTGTTGGATATTGGATCCTCTGCATTTCTGTCTTTACCTTTTCTGTTTTATCTTGATTTGCGAGAAAGTGACGGAGGTGGGCCCCTTTTATGCACATTATCTGTGTGACAAAAAAAAGAAAAGAAATGAAACCGTCAGTTGTGTGAAAAAAAGAATGCAATAATTTACAAATAGTTACAGTCATCACTAGAATAAAGGGTAACATATTAGAAAATACATCAAATACTGAGAAATCTAGTGGGTTAAACGATATTGTAAATCTCTTCTCTTTAAAAGCTTTTGGCAAATGTTTGGGAATATATGAAACTAGTCCCTGTAATTGGAAAAAGAACTGTTTTTGGCTGCTCAGCACATTGTAGTATTTTTCTATTTATTATGTATCAAATGTTTACCACCACAGAGCCACACGGTTGTAATTTTCTTGCTGCAATTGACTGGATGATTTACTAATTTACGAATAAATTCTTTACAAATCCTACCATGTGAATTCATGGATTTTTTTTTCACATTCTGTCTCTCACAGTTGAAGTGTACCTTTGGTGCAAATTACTGACCTCTCTCATCATTTTAAGTGGGGGAACTTGCACAATCGGTGGCTGACTAAATACTTTTTTGCCCCACTGTAATTGTGTTTGTGCTGCCTCTACGCCGTATTTAACTTTTGTTTTTTGGCCTTTTACACTGAGTACAGAGATTTCTCTGGACTTTTTCAAATCTTAGGGTGTGCTTCTTAAATTTTTGAACCAATAATCCTTCCACAGGTAGCTCTCTGTGATGATTTTTTGATACCCAGTTGTGTTACTCTATTACTTCCAGTTAATCTAATTAGCTGTAAAATATTCTGTGAGGGGATATTCTACATTTATTCCAGACTTGGTTTATTAGAACAAAGTATCAGTTTCTACATTGACCATATTGCCTTTGCACATTTTAAACAAAATATTGTTTTTAAATAATAATAGTAATGGATTGCATTTATGTAGCGCTTTTCGGGGCCCTCAAAGCACTTTACAATGCCACTATTCATTCACTCTTACATTCACACACTGGTGAAGGCAAGCTACAGTTGTAGCCACAGCTGCCCTGGGGCAGAATGACAGAGGCGAGGCTGCCATATCGTGCCATCGGCCCCTCTGACCATCACCAGTAGGCGGTAGGTGAAGTGTCTTGCCCAAGGACACAAGAGACTGTCCGAGCTGGGGCTCGAACCGGCAACCTTCCGGTTACAAAATGAACTGCCAACTCCTTGAGCCACGATCGCCCCCGATAGTAATAAATAATTTGCAAATCATTTTGTTTAGGCTTTTGTTTTTTACATTTGGGTTTCAATTCTTTGTTAATATACAGCAGTGGTCATCAGAATTTTGTTCTGCTGACTCTCGTCCTGCTCGCCTGTCTCATTTACTTGTCTTTTCCTTCTTGTATTTCCTGCTAGACATATTTTTCTAAAGAAGGGCCCAATCACATTTGACAGACATGAACTCTATTTTTATCTATTTTTATATGTATGTGGGTTTTTCTTTATTTGCTCTGCTCCGTGAACTATTTCCCTTTATGTTTTTTGACTAATGTCATCATTTTCAAAACATGTGGTCAAGACAACTGAGAAAAAAAAGAAAAGCTCTGATTTACTTTTTAGACAACCCCAGCTGTTTGCATTCCTGTTTTGTCCACAAAGAGCTGTTTTACTTCATTCAGCCGAAGACTAAATGATATTTGAACATAGTCAGTATTGCACTCCCATAAGAAGCTTTTATGTGTACATCTAAAATCCCATCCCACTCACATTCAATTCCACCTGTTTCCCTCTCATGTGGGTGCTGCGTGTATTGTTATTGATGTAGACAGTGCTCTAAAACTTAATATTTTTTGAAAACAGTGTTGCAAAAAATGTCAGAAAACAGTCTCAGGGCAGTGAATTGTTGATATTCCTGCATTTCTGTAATGTTCACATGACTCACTTCTAAGGCATAAATAGTTTTTCTGAGTGTGCGTTTGATGTAACCCATCCGGTTGCCTCAGGCAACATTCATCTGTTTGCATGGAGCTGACTTTCTCCTTTGGAAAGAAAAAAATGTCCTTGTGAATGAATGACTTTACTGTGCCCACCTTTAAAACTTGGAACTGAGCACACGCAAAGTTATCCCTCAACATTAGACGGTAAAGGGTTACAACGCTTTAGAGTACCCTTTGAATTTTTGCTCTTCTTTTTTTCAGCTGACTGGTTCATAAAAGTAACAGTGCGTCATGATTGAGCGTCTTGCTCAAAAACAATATGTCTTGTGGATGCATTGCACTCTGGTTTGTTTGTGTCAGTACCCCCCCCTTCCTTTTCTTTCCCTTTTTTTGTATTTTACACTGTGTGAGTGTTGAACATCAGTGGGGGGAAAAGCAGCAGCAGCAGCATCAACCCCTTGCTGTTCTATAATTAAAAGGTCTCTGCTCACAAGAGTCATGTGTATGCTGGTTTCTGTTCCAAACACCAAATTAGATTTCAGTGATTTCCAGCTTTCTCTTAAAATGTACAAGTGACTATTATACCTCTAATTAGACCTGCACTTAGTATTACCTGTTTTATGTGGTACACTTATGTGGAATAGTGTTTCTTTTATTTGCATTTAAACTGTCCTAAAACGCAGTCAACGCTATTTTTTTTAGTGTTTCATAGATAGGTTAATTCAGATCGTTATAGAGGACTCTTTGTAATGCTGCGGCGAATTTGGAAGGACTGCTTTTTATGGTTCATCTCAGAACTAATGTTTGTATTACTTTTTTGACAACTGAAATAATTACTATTGGCCATATTACAACTTCAGTAAGCTGAGAAGAGGAAACGGGTAACAAAATAAAATGTAAACAGCAGAACACAAGGAAAAAAGAGGAACAACAGATGATACAGTATCGATCTCAGTGAGGTGGCCAATGAGAAGCGATGGGAGATTTTAAAATATCAATAGAGAGAGCAGATGTGTTGAGATAAACTGTTCCATATTATTATATAGCGACTACAGACCCAAAATGACTTAGACTTAAATCATAGAATTGTTTTTCACTGCAGTCTCGCATTAATATTTCAACGGTGCACTATGGTTTCAAGAAAATACAGTAAATGTTTGCAAATACTCGAGAGCTCGTTTCATTAAAATTATATGAAAGTTACTTAAATGTTTTACTCAAAAGCATTCATTTGACAGTTATTGCATGCCTGTCTGTTCCAGAGAAGGAACTCTTTCTTTTGCTCTTTGTCAGAGTTTTCTATCTTTCTCCTAATCAATGTAATCTTATTTTGCATATCTGAAACGCGGACCCAAATTCTCTGCTTTTCCCACACCAACACTGGCCAATTCATCTCCAGTTATATGTACTTCAATGCAGCTAACATAAAGCATATTCTACATAAACTACTCAGGCACTGTTACGGTGATATATAGAGGTGGTAATGTAATGACTTGTAATGAAAACAAAATGTTTGAAACCACAAATTATCCATTTGTCTGCTCTGTAATCCTTTTATCACAAACACTTTTTAAAATCAGCGTTGGAAAGAAAAAAAAAAGATGATTTCCTTTTAATGAGTATTTGTTTGAAAACAATTATATAATGAGTTCTGTAGCTCTGGAGGAGGTATGTCAAGCCTGAGAGAATTAACCTGATGATGTCATAATGGCGTAAAGTATGATTTATAATAGAAAGCTTGCACTGGAAACTGACAGCAGGAATAAATGGGGGCTTTTATGATGCTTAGAGACCAATCAAAAGCTGCCTTAGCTCAATACGGCATCCAGTGTTGGTGGATCTGAAGGATTCCAGGCCTAATCTTTACTCACCTGTGCTGCATTGTGTTATATTATTATCTCACTGACTCGTGTAAAGATGGGAGCTAAATAAATGTCACATAAATCTTAAGAAAAGCTATAATAGCTAGTTCATTTATAAAGTGAGAAATGCTGGAGCCATCTGAAAATATGCTGTGATAATTTAATTATTTCTAACCAGCCAGTTCAGCATTTATAGATCTCACCTCTACTTCATTTATTTTTTCTTTGACTTCATCCAAGTGCTTGGATGCCTTTAACGTTTTATCCTCTTTATAAATTGCTAATCTGCCATAGAAATACAATCTTCATTTAAAACGAAGTTCTCAGAGGCCTCAGTAACTCTACAGTCATTATTAAATAGGCTACGTGTCTGACTTGCCTTATAGATTTTGTTCTGGTGAGAAACGTTAGTCCGGGGAAAAAGGGTTGTGTTTGATGAGCTGTCAGAGAAGGTAGAGAATAGTTGGAAGGCATAAACCGTCTGCTCCTTTTCATGTATGATGCGTGTGCCCTTGGTTACCTAGTAACTCTCTTCTCCATCTCAAATCGGCGCTCCCGAATATTCATACGGGATAGCGCCGCGCGTCCCCGCGAAGCTCGTGTTGAGCTCAAGAGTCAAGGCAAAAGCAGCAAAACGCACCAGGACTAGGAGGAGACTTCCCGCAGGAAAAAAAGGAAAGAAAGAAAGAAAGAAAGAAAATTAATCACTAAAATAAAACGTGGGAGAAATCCATTAAAATGACAGCGGAGTGAGGATAATGAGAGTCGTTATCGCTTCACAGGAAGGTCATTCCCGAAAAACATATAAGCGGTGCGCAGACTATACGGATATTTGGAGTACAGAGACTCGACTGCGAGTGAAGACCCCGAAACAGTGAAACATTATCCCGGCTTTTTATTTCCAGAAAGGCATGGGGGGATTTAGATCTCGACAAGGCAGGTGAGTCATTTCATGAGACTTGATGAGCAACTAGAGAAGGGGCAGAAAATCTAAGGCTGTCTGCGTTCTGAGTGACTTGGGGAGATGTGCAGGGGGGAAAGAGGGTATATCAGGATACTTGGATTTATTTTATACGACTTAAGCTTCTATTTTATTTGTGTGCGTGTGTGGAAAAGATTAAGAGTGGGAGCTATTTTGTAACGCAACATCGACGCAGCGCTGTACCCCGGCACGGAGGCACGTATACTTCCAAAACGCATTCGGATTTTGTGAGTTGGACGGACTACCCGGAGTCTTATTAGACGCAGGGGTTTTGGATGCTGCTAACTGTCTGTATCTTTTCCTCGCACTGTCATATGTAGCGTGTTGCGATACCAGCGCACGGCAAACGTCAATGCAGAAAATAAATGCTTGCGATAGACGTCCAGAGCACTTGTTACTTGGGCATAAAGACATCTTGTGCGCGTGATGGGCGCAAGCTCTGTGTCATTGTTCATCCTGTAGCAAGGAAAAACCCCGAAAACGCCAAATGAGTTGCGTTTATTGCAAAAACAAGAAATAAAAGGGCGGAAACTGCGAGCTCTGAACTTTAAGGTACATTTAACAAAGAATTGATGGCTTAAATAGATCAGGTTGGAAGCAGATCTAAGGTCCCTTTTTTTTTTAAATTTTTTTTTTTTTATATGATTGGGACCAGTTTGCACCAGGCTACCGACCTCCATCAGGATGGGCAGGATAATCTGACACGGGGATACATGGGTATCCCCCGATTCCTATTCCCTTTTTTAATAACATTTTCTCCTAATTGGTTTGTGGATGATTAGATGAGTGGCTCAGTATAGAAGCTTCAGTGTGAGCTTAACTGGTTATTAAAGGGCATTTTTCATCTTAGAGTGATAGAGTGTGTGTGTGTGTGTGTGTATATATATATATATATATATATATATATATATATATATATATATATATATATATATATGTGTGTGTAGGTTATTCTACTTGCTGCTTGACACTTATTCATTCTTTTTAACCTTTTGGCTTAATCACATTAAAAAAGATTTTTAAAGAAGCAGGAAAAAGTTATGTTTTTTCCATCTTTAATACCTATAAAAGCTGCAGAACTGAACATATTGCTTGCAAAGCAAAGAGTTTATAAAACAGTGTAATGATCTTGTAGGCCACACACGTCTACTTTCCCATACAGTCTGAAATTCCTGGACACATGGCTTCAGAAATATACTATAAATAAATAGTCTGGTTGTTATCAGTGGCAGTAAGAATAATTAAGAGAGAGAGAGTTGAATTCCAAAGAGAGAGGAGGAAGTGGAAATGTCAAGCAGGAGTTGTCATGGTGATTAGTTGAATAACCAATGTGTCCCTGAAACCTAAACATTTAGGAAGTGATTCAGCCTGTTATTTGGCATGCAAACCACACTGCTGATAAAAGAAGACCCTAATAGATGATAATCACACAGACACGTAGAATTTCTAGTTTTTGTTGCGTACATATTTTTTCAAACAAAAAAGGGGGAAAAAAGGCCTTGTGAAATTCTGAGAAGGGCTCCTCGAATTCAGTTTTGATTTGCAGGAGAATGGTGTGTGTCTGTATTGTAAGTGGCGCTTCAATATCATGTGAAGAATTATGCATGCTGGTGCTGGTGCTGCTGTTTGTGAATTCTCTTTCTGACCCTTCAGTGTTTGCATTCCAGTCGAGCAAAGTGCTATTTTTTCAAGCTCCCTGCTGTTTTAATATCCATTCTTCACCCCTTTCTCAGATTTTTTTTCTTTTCTTTCTGGGATGTACTTGAGCTGTGTAACAATCGTGGCAGCTTAATTTACGACAAAAACTGAGCTTTCGGGTTTCAGCCGTTGGAGAGTAATTACAGAGAACGGCGCTCTCCCAGTGTGTTCATTTGCTAGACAGATTACACTGGAAGGGGTTGGGCCATCGAGAAGCGGTCAACATGTGATCACTGATAGGCACACATGCTGACACACTCCCGTAGACACACACGTGCACACATATGCGCGTGCACACACACAAACACACAAGTGCAGCATTGAGTCCGTTGTTTACCCTGTGAGTCTCAGGGCTGCTCAAGAAAAGCTCCATGAGACTCTCTGTCTACTGCAAAGGTCAGCGAGGCTTCGTGCTGACCTAACGTGAATACACCTGAGTGTGTCTTGGCCTGACTTAACATGGATGAGCCGCTCATTGGTCTCTGGCCCGAGAGTCCTCTTGTTCCTTAGCCTTCAGTTTCTCTTTAAGCATCGCGCTCCTTATTGCTTTCTCGTCCAGACACATGGGCAGAGGTGTGCAAGCACATGTGCTCCTCTGTGTATACACGGCGGTGTGTCGTCGCACATATAAGGAAGGCTGTGGAAGGTTATTTGTGTTTTCTAATATTCTTCATTGCGTTTGACGTGTTGTCTCGAAGCAGGCAGGAGCTGAATAATTTCCCAAATGGATACCTCTGACCTTCTGAAAATATGTCCTATCACTATTTATCCCGCAGCCAAGGAAAGGCCTGTCATTGTTCTAGCACTGTTCTCACAACGTTGCAACATCGCTCAAACAAAAGGAAGAGGGGAGGTGTGATGTTTGTGAATCTAAAACAGATTAGCTTATTACCACGTTACCAAGCAAGCGGGATAATTGCCTTGGCTTGACTGCTGCTCTTGAAAATCCACAGGTAACAAATGCCTGCCCAAACAGACATAAAGTTTACAGACTTATTTTACTTCTTGAGACTCATCTAGAGAGCAGATTTAGCTTTTAGGTTATTGCTGCTTAAAATGTAAATGATTCTGAGTCGTGTGAGGTCTTAATGGTCTCTCACAATGGCTGTTTCGCAGAGACCTCTGAGAAAGAGCCCAAATCTTCAAAAACCAAGTAAAAATGTGCCTCATGATGTGTCACCCGAGCCCTTTCCCCCTGCCTTTCGCAGACATGGATGTACAGTGACTAATGCAGGAGGATCAACTTGTCTCTTCGTGTTTGCTCAGGAGGATGCGCCTTCATCATCATTAAATCACACTCGATATGACTGAATCGCTGCAAAACACCCTGATAGTTTCTCTATTAAACATTAGTCGAAACAAGCGGCGGTGCTCCGTACACTTGTGTCACACTCGTTTCAATAATGAATAAGACGTATTTGTTAAATCAGTAAAAAGATGAAAGAGTGTTTGTTAGACTAACAAAGCGGTTTTGGCCCGAGGCACAAAGATATGCCTCAAGTCTTTTGCACATAACATATTTAACTGAGATATTACATTGTTCATGGCCCAAAAAACATCTCCCCTGACTAACAGGTTTCCCTGCCAAAGACCAATGTCTGCTTAGTAAACAAGATTCTTTTGGACATCGCCATTCTAACTACAAAGCAGATGTCACACAGTATGTCTCCACTTACTGTCTGCCAGAAGTTATCTACTTATTAATTATTTATTAATTAGTCAATTTACTCTCAATAACACACAGACCAAGGACGAAGCCGACTGAGCTATAATCAGGGACAGCCGAACGTGCAGTAGAAGCAGCAGCAGCGGCAGCAGCAGCAGCAAGGAGCTGTTTTTGATTGTATCCCCCTTTTAACTGAGACTTTTTAAAAATGCATCACATGGAGGGAGAGACAGCAGGAGCGGGGTGCGGGAGACCATCATGATATGGAAAAGCAAAGTTGTACTTTAAGCTTACGTAAGCTTATGTAAAGTTCACTTCTTTTCATTCATGTGTAACATGCAAACATAAATGACCTTTTTTTTTTTTTTTTTGCTATGGCATACAAGAATCAATCCACTGAAGCAGTGCGTGTTTCACATTCCACTGACTTTATTTTGCAAATCCGTTGCATTTATTTGTTGACTCTGACTGCGATTTGCATGCTTGCCGCATGTGCGGTACATATAGATTTCTGGACCTTTGACTACTGAGTCATGCACGGCTTTTAAAGACTTGCCAGCTCACTTGAAATGTAAAAAATCCGTCAGCCATCGTAATATGTAAGGCCGGCCGGAAACGAACAAAGAAGTTAATCGTTCTTTCTGTGTGTCGTGAGCGACAGGGGTGAAACCCTGCCTGTTTGTTTTCGAAAAGTCACCTTAATCCTTATGATTTAAATCGCATTTTATTTTACCTAATCCGCCCTGCAAATACAGAGACAAGTGACAGGGAGTCAACACGTTTTAATCCCAGGGGATGAACGTTACTGTCCAGGTAAAGTTTAAGTGGCAGAGTGTGCCTTTCCTCTGTCAATTCCTCAGCTTCTTATCCAACTAAGCAATCACTAAGCCCCTTTCTCTCCTCATTTTCTTAACATGGAGTGAGTATTGTGTGGGTCTGGCAGTACACAGAAAGACGGGGCTGTCTAATTCATGGGGTAAATTAGTGGAGATAAGGCCTGAGTCAGTACCTCCAGCCTACCATAGATCCCCCGGGGCAGGCTCTTAAGGAGCTTAGTAAAAGCCTGTCGTATGAAGACATGACATGGAGCTGGCTAAATGGGCTACGTTGGAGTGTCTTCCATCAACCTAATATTTATATATGGGTCACTGTCGTTCAGGCTTAATCCCATTCAATTTATTCACTCTTGGTTATTAATTCAGAGTTTTTAGGAAAATATAGCAATGTGCGCAAGCTAGGTGGGGAACAAGGTGTATTAGCATTTCTTTAATGTAGTTGTGCACCAGAGTGACAGAACACTTAAGCCCACTCATAAGACCGCGTTGTGTGAGACTATGAGTTTGTGCCACCAAATCAATAATGAATGCTGGGTTGCCCGTAGTAAAAGAACAAGAAAGAGCTCCTCCAGAGTCACTGGGTCACATACACTGGGGAAACAATTAGAGGCTTCTTTGCACTTCACAGTGCTGCAGCTTGTTTTTCTCTCTCTCTCTGTCTCTCTTTTTTTTTCATCTGCACACGTTTCCCGTAATTTTTCTCTAGGGTCCGGCAGCATGTCTGTTCCGCTGTTGAGAAATTACAGACATCGGGTGCA